CTTCGGTGGAGCTCCCTATGGGGCCACGAAACGTGTGAGGGGTGTGCCGAAGTGGGTGATGACGATGACGATGACGACGATGACAATGACGATGATGATGATGATGATGATGATGATGATGATGACGATGATGATGATGATGATGATGATGATGATGATGATGATGATGATGATGATGATGATGATGATGATGATGATGATGATGATGATGATGCTGATGCTGATGCTGATGATGATGATGATGATGATGATGATGATGATGATGATGATGATGATGATGATGATGATGATGATGATGATGATGATGATGGGAGGAGAGGAGGGGGAGGAGAGAGGAGGAGGAGGAGGTGGGACGCGGGGCGCTGTCTCTTCAAAACGAGGACCCAACACCACAGGATGGTTGGGAACAAATGTTCCACTCGAAATCTGGTAGCCAACATGAACCGCCGAATGTGAAGCAACACGCGGGTGGCACGTGTCGACCCGAAAACCGTGTGAGAAAAAAACACTTGCTTCACTCGCATTCTGGTCGCCAACATGGATCCATACAATGTCAAACGACACGTGGGTGACACGTGTCACCCAGAATACCGTGTGAGAAAAAAAAAACGCTTGCTTCACTCGTATTGTGGATGACAAAGTGGGGCCACAGAGGGTGAACCAACACGCGGGTGACACGCGCCAACTCGAAAACCGTATCATAAAAAACAATCGTTTCACTCGCATTCTGGACGCCAACATGGGGGCCATACAATGTGAAACAACACGCGGGTGACACGCCTCACCCCGGACACCGTGTCAGAAAATGGCCGTTGCAATCGTATTATGGAAGCCAACACGGGGCCATACAATGTGAAACGACACACGGGTGGCACGTGTCCCCCGAAAACCGTGTGAGAACAAAAATTGCGCCACCGAAGAACCCCGCATACTTAATTCAAACATGATGTGCTTGCTTATGTTTTTAATACGTGCGCAATCCTGCGTTCTGAGCCCTCGTCGCGGATGTTGCCCTATGTGTCATCCAACGCCATATTGCTTGCCACGCTTTGCGAGCCCGCAAAGGATAGGGAGACCACCCCCAGCGCACCCCCTGTCGTGTCGAGGAAGTGCCACGCCTGCCACGCTTTGCGAGCCCGCAACGGATAAGGATACCCCCCCCAGCGCCCCCCCCCCTGTGGTGTCGAGGAAGTGCCACGCCTGCCACGCTTTGCGAGCCCGCAACGGATAGGGAGACCAACCCCAGTGCCCCCCCCGTGGTGTCGAGGAAGTGCCACGCCTGCCACGCTTTGCGAGCCCGCAACGGATAAAGATACCACCCCCAGCGCACCCCCTGTGGTGTCGATGAAGTGCAACGCCTGCTACGCTTTGCGAGCCCGTCAAGGATAGGGAGACCAACCCCAGCGCAGCACCTGTGGTGTCGGGGAAGTGCCACGCCTGCCACGCTGTGCGAGCTCGCAGCGGATAAGGAGACCATCCCCAGATATCACTAGCGCACCCCCTGTGGTGTCGAGGAGATGCCACGCCTGCCAAGCTTTGCGAGCCCGTCACGGATAGGGAGACCACCCCCAGCGCAATCCCTGTGGTGCCGAGGAAGTGCCACGCCTGCCACGCTTTGCGAGCCCGTCACGGATAGGGTGACCACCCCCAGCGCACCCCTTGTGGGGCCGAGGAAGTGCCACGCCTGCCACGCTGTGCGAGCCCGCAACGGATAGGGAGACCACCCCCAACGCGCCCCCTGTGGTGTCGAGGAAGTGCCACGCCTGCCACGCTTTGCGAGCCCGCAACGGATAGGGAGACCACCCCCAGCTCCCCCCCTGTGGTGTCGAGGAAGTGCCACGCCTGCCACGCTTTGCGAGCCCGAAACGGATAGCGTCCCCACCCACAGCTCCCCCCTGTGGTGTCGAGGAAGTGCCACGCTGCCACGCTTTGCGAGCCCGAAACGGATAGCGTCCCCACCCACAGCTCCCCCCTGTGGTGTCGAGGAAGTGCCACGCCTGCCACGCTTTGCGAGCCCGAAACGGATAGCGTCCCCACCCACAGCTCCCCCCCTGTGGTGTCGAGGAAGTGCCACGCCTGCCACGCTTGCGAGCCCGAAACGGATAGCGTCCCCACCCACAGCTCCCCCCTGTGGTGTCGAGGAAGTGCCACGCCTGCCACGCTTTGCGAGCCCGAAACGGATAGCGTCCCCACCCACAGCTCCCCCCCTGTGGTGTCGAGGAAGTGCCACGCCTGCCACGCTTTGCGAGCCCGAAACGGATAGCGTCCCCACCCACAGCTCCCCCCCTGTGGTGTCGAGGAAGTGCCATGCGTGCCACGCCTGTGCCACGCCTGTGCTGTGCTGTGCTGTGTTGTGTGCTGTGCTGTGCAGCTCCCCCCCTGTGGTGTCGAGGAAATGCCATGCGTGCCACGCCTGTGCCACGCCTGTGCTGTGCTGTGCTGTGTTGGGTGCTGTGCTGTGCTGTGCTGCGGTGAGCTGTGCTGTGCTGTGCTGAGCTGAGCTGAGCTGCGCTGTGCTGTGCTGAGCTGAGCTGTGCTGTGCTGTGTGCTGTGCTGTGCTGTGCTGTGCTGTGCTGCGGTGAGCTGTGCTGTGCCGTGCTAAGCTGTGCTGTACTGAGCTGAGCTGAGCTGAGCTGTGCTAAGCTGTGCCTTGCTGAGCTGAGCTGAACTGAGCTGTGCTGAGCAGTGCTGTGAGGAGGAGGGGAGGTGTGAGGTGAGACGCGGGTGCGACGCGGCAGGGAAGAAAACCAGAACCCCACTAAGCATGTGGGGAACAAGTGTTTCACTAATATCATGGACGCGAACGTGGGGCCAACAATGTGAAACAATATACGGGTGGCACGTGTCACCCAGAATACCGTGTGAGAAAAAACACTTGTTTCACTCGTATTGTGGATGACAACATGGGGACATACAATGTGGAACAACACGCGGATGACACGTGTCACCCCGAAAACCGTGTGAGAAAAAACAGTTGTTTCACTCCAATTCTGGTCGCCAGCATGGGGCCATACAGTGTGAAACAACACGCGGGTGACACGCGTCCCCCCCAAAAAAACGTTTGAGAAACAACAATTGTTTGACTCGCATTCTGGACGCCAACATGGGGCCATACAGTGTGAAACAACACACGGGTGACACGTGTCACCCCGAAAACCGTGTGAGAATAATCAATTGTTTCACTCGTATTCTGACAACGGGGCCATGATGATGTACGACTCTTTTTCCCGGCGCCTGGGGCTGGGTAGACACATGGGCAGAACAAATGGAGAACAACAAAAAACGAATGCGAATCTGCGTCCGTGCGACGGCGACCGGGCGTGGTATAGATTGATGGGTAGCTGAACGCCACCACTCAAGCCAAGCCGAGGGTGCGACGGCGTCGGGGGGGGGGCAGATACATGGACGGACATGGCGCAGACGTATCGGAGCGACGGCGCCTGCGGGGGGGTATGTGTAGATAGATGGGTGCACCGCGCCAGCCAAGCAAAGCCGACGGTGCGACGGCGAATGCTCTTTGAAAATCAACCAGAACGGAGTTCAAGACAGGTGGGATCCCCTCATGGCAGATAGATGGACAGACGTGGCCGCCCGCCCGCCCGCGGATGCCGCATGGGGGCGGGGCCCGGGCGGTGGGCGGTGGGCGGGTGGGTGGGCACGGAGATATGATGCTCAACGCGAATCGCAGTCCGCAGCAGTTTTGCTGGCCCGCGGAAGGTGGGTGGGTGTCGAATAATGCAGCCGACCAGTGCCAAAACGTATTCTCCAATTTTCTGGTTCCGCGGAGGGATGGTGGATGGTGGGAAAAAAACATGTTTCTCTGCGAGGCGCGCCGGCTGTAGGGTGGGTGGGCACAAACAGTCAAACTGATTTTCCCCGAGAAGTAGCCCGGGGGGATTGGGGGACGTAATGCCACATGGCCCTCAGATGAAAAAAACACGTATCAAGCGAAGCACACCTGTTGAAAAGGGGTCCTCCTCCATCCCTGCAATTGCTGCACACATTTACGACGAAAGTGCGCGGCGCTACGTCGACAGCGCAATTTTGTAAACCACCTCTGCCGACCTTGAACCTGTTGCAAACTCAGCAGACAAACTGCGAATTTCAGGATCACGAACAACAAAATTGTAAGAAACTCTCAGGCGAAACGCCCAGCCTGTTCCACCGACACGTCTGTGGGTGCGACAGGAAGGAGCTACTTGCAAGGAAAAAAGATGAAGGAGGGGGAGGAACGAAAAGGACGAGGAGGAGGAGAAGGAGAAGGCGAAGGAGAAGGAGGAGGACAAGTAGGAGGAGGATGGAGAGGGGGAAGAGGAAACATATGAGGAATGGTATTTGAGGGCAGAGAAGGAAGAGGATGCTAGGGCATGGATGCTAAGGGTGCGCCCTCTGGCGCGAGGTCACCTCGAAAGTGCCTGCGGACGAGAGCTGACACCAACGCCGCACACATCTAAGAGGGAGGGGGAGGAGGAGGAGGAGGAGGAGGAGGAGGAGGAGGAGGAGGAGGAGGAGCGGAGGAGCGGAGGAGGAGGAAGGAGGAGGAGGGGAGGAGGAGGAGGAAGAGGAGGAGAAGGAGGACGAGGACGAGAGACGAGGGGGAGAAGGAGAGGAGGGGAGGAGGAGGAGGAGGAGGAGGAGGAGGAGGAGGGAGGAGGAGAGGAGGAGGAGGGAGGAGGCAGGAGGAGAAAATAGGAGAGAGGAGGAGGAGGAGGAGGGGAGGAGGAGGAGGAGGAAAAAGAAAGGAGGAAGGTAGGAGGAGGAGGAGGAGGAGGGAGGAGGAGGAGGAGGAGGACGGAGGGGAGGAGGAGGAGGGGGGAGGAGGATGAGGAGGAGGAGGAGCAGGAGGAGGAGGAGGAGGAGAGAGGAGGAGGAGGAGGAGGGAGGAGGAGGAGGAGGCTGAGAGGAGGAGGAGGAGGAGGAGGAGGAGGAGGAGGAGGAGGAGCGAGGAGGAGGAGGAGGAGGAGCGGACGGGGGAAATGTGGCCGCGCGACCCTGGGCGCCGAGTCCACCAGCGCGCGGCCCCACGGCCCGGCGGCCGCCTCCCCAACGTCCCCGTAGGATGGCACCTGCGGGGGGGGAGGGGGAGCGAGGGAGGGCCGCTTTTAGCAGCCTCGCCCTAGGAGGAGGAAGCGGAGGAGGAGGAGGAGGAGGAGGAGGAGGAGGAGGAGGAGGAGGAGGAGGAGGAGGAGGAGGGGCAGCAGCAGCAGCAGGAGGAGGAGGAGCAGGAGGAAGAGGAGGAGGAGGAGGAGGAGGAGGAGGAGGAGGAGGAGGAGAAGGAAGAGGAGGAGGAGGAGGAGGAGGAGGAGGAGGAGGAGGAGGAGGAGGAGGAGGAGGAGGATGGCGAAGGATGGCGGAGGGTGGCGGAGGAAAACGAGGAAGAGAAGGAGGAGGAGGAAAAGAGGAGGAGGGGTGCTTTCCGTCATGAGTTGCATACATGTCCTGTGCCCTTGCGCTTTTCATTATCCTCTTCGGCAACGTGTTGTTGCGCTGCAGTCTTTGCTTTTGCCCGCGGTAGCCCGCGGGGGCTCGACGCTTCAGGCGCCAGCTGGTGTCCCTGCTGCCTGCGGAAGGAAAAAAACAAAAGGGAGGGGAGGGGGGCCAAGATCTGCCCGCGACGGCCGAAGATCGAGCCTGGAGTCGGCGGCGAGCCGGGGGGGAAGTGAGAAGGACTTCGCTGCCCCGATACGCAACGCGCAGCACGTGGCGTGTTGGCCCGGAACTTAACGCGTGGACTGCACACGTGGGTCTGGCGCGATGCGTTCGCCAAAACATGGGCCAACGCGTTGAGCCAACACGCAACGGGTTAACACGGACGTTTTGAGCACATAGAACCGTACCCATACTACTTCCCCCAAACATCCTGTGATGTTGGGTCCTCGTTTTGAAACAACGGTCCCCTTGTTCCGCTTTGCTTTGGCGCACCCCTCACACGGTTCGTGGCCCCATAGGAAGCTCCACCGAAGGCCTCAGTGGCAGGATTCGCATGGCGGCTCCGCGCCATTTTGGCGCACCCCTCACACGCTTCGTGGCCCCATAGGGAGTTCCACCGAAGGACCCTGTGGTTCGCATGGCGGCCCACACCGATTTTTGGCGCATCCCTCACACGGTTCGTGGCCCCATAGGGAGTTCCACCGAAGGCCTCAATGGCAGGGTTCGCATGGCGGCCCCGCCCCATTTTGGCGCACCCCTCACACGCTTCGTGGCCCCGTAGGGGGCTCCACCGAAGGCCCCAGTGGCAGGGTTCGCATGGCGGCCCCGCCCCATGTTGGCGCACCCCTCACACGGTTCGTGGCCCCATAAGGGGCTCCACCGAAGGCCTCACTGGCAGGGTGCGCATGGCGGCCCCGCCCCATTTTGGCGCACCCATCGAACGGTTCGTGGCCCCATAGGGAGCTCCACCGAAGGCCCCAGTTGTAGGGTTCGCATGGCGGCCCAGCCCCATTGTGGCGCATCCCTCACACGGTTCGTGGCCCCATAGGGAGTTCCACCGAAGGCCTCAGTGGCAGGGTTCGCATGGCGGCCCCGCCCCATTTTGGCGCACCCCTCACACGGTTCGTGGCCCCGTAGGGGGCTCCACCGAAGGCCACAGTGGCAGGGTTCGCATGGCGGCCCCCCCGCATTTTGGCGCACCTCTCACACGGTTCGTGGTTCCATTGGAAATTCTCCTTGCTTCGTCCCACCTGTCGTGCGGTTCTCACACGTGCACATGGTTGGGTCCTTCGCCAAGATAATGAACTTTTTTTGAACATTCTTCCTGTAAAGGGAGAGGCCCGACCTAAATAGCGGCTAGAGCTTGCCCTCCGAGGGGGGCCGCAACTGGCGACTGGATGTCGCGCGGATGCGCGGTGAGGGCGCGAGGGCCGCGCCAGATATCGAAACCGAGACCGGAAGCCCATGACCCATGGCCAATGGCCAGCACGGGCCGAGACGTACGGTGGAGGTTTGGACCCTTGCATGCACGCATTCGACACAAGGTGGCACTCCGCGCAGCTGCCACGCACTGCACACTGTGCGCTAACACCACTCCGCCGTGCGCACCAGCCACAACGCCGCACAAAAGCGACGGACACGGCACATCCGGGCCCGTGAAAACACCCATGGCGGCTCCCCTTTGGGGTGCTGAAACCAGCGCCCCGCCTGAGACATCCTCACAATCTGCTCTGAAAGCCAAGGATGTTGGGCATGAGAACGAGCAAACCGCCTGAGACATCCCCACAAACTGGCCGCGAACGGGCCCGTGTCCTACCCCCTGGCGGCTCCTTTTAGGGGTGCTGCAACCAGCGCACCGCCTGAGACATCCTCAGAATCTGCTCTGAAAGCCAACGGTGTTGGGCATGAAAACGAGCAAACCGCCTGAGACACCCCCACAAACTGGCCGCGAACGGGCCTGTGAAAACCCTCCTGGCGGCTCTCCTTTGGGGTGCTGAAACCAGCGCACCGCCTAAGACATCCTCAAAATATGCTCTGAAAGCCAACGGTGTTGGGTATGAAAGCGAGCAAACCGTTTGAAACATCCCCACAAACTGGCCGCGAACGGGCCCGTGTCCTACCCCCTGGCGGCTCCCCTTTGGGGTGCTGAAACCAGCGCCCCGCCTGAGACATCCTCATTATTCACTGCGTGAAGCTCCCCATTTGTGCATCTATTCGCATGGACCTGTCCGCCGTGAATGTCTAGGCGCAAGAGCTTTCGAATATAAACGGGCTTCAATTGTGACGGTCTGGCGGTCTGGACATAAATCTAACTGCGAATGAATTGGAGTGTGAATGAGCCTCAGTAGTACGAGCGCGTCTCTGTGCATGAGCCTGGGGCCTCCTGGGGCCTCCTGAAACCTACTGGGGCTTCCTGGGGTCTCCAGGAGCCTCTTGGGGCCTCCTGGGACCTCCTAGGGAGGTTTCGTGCCCCAGGGGAGGCGCAATATATAGCAACAGACGTACATAAAACATTGCGGATTAGAGCCACAGGAGACGGGCAATATATAGGAACACGCGTAAAACACCAAGGACTCGTGCCCCATGAGAGGCCCAATATATAGGAACATAAATAATACATGTAGGATTGTGTACACAGGAGAAGGACAAAATATAGAAACATACGTATAACATCGAAGAATCGTGCTCCAGGTGAGGCCCAATCGATAGGAGCATACGTAAAACACATGGGATTGGAGCCACTCCTGTTGCCTTCTGAGGCCTCCTGCTCCTGGGGCCTCTCGGGGCCTCCTGTTGCCTTCCGAGGCCTCCTGGCGCTTCCTGTTGCCTCCTGGGGCCTCCTGTGGTTTCCTGAGGCCTTCTGGAGCTTCCTGGGGCCTCCTGGAGCCTCTTGGGACATCCTGTGGCCTCTTGAGTCTTTCTGTGGCCTCCTGATGCCTCCTGGGACCTCATGTGGTCTCCTGGGGCCTCCTGGAGCCTGTTGGAGCCTCCTGTGGCATCCTGAGAAGAATCTGCGCCCACGAGCCTGGCCACCAAAACAAGCAAACCGATCGAGACATCCTCAAAATCTGGCCCACCTGGGGGGTGAACATGAGCGCCTCGCTCGAGACATCCTCCAAATCTGCTCCGAAAGCGAAGGATGCTGGCACAGAAAAACAAGCAAACCGCTCGAGACATCCCCACAAAATCCTGCGAAAGCGGCCGAATGAAACACCCCCCCGCCGCTCCCCTTAGGAACGTGAAAATGAGCGCCTCGCTCGAGACATGCACCAAATCTGCTCCGAAAGCGAAGGATGTTGGGACAGAAAACGGGCAAACCGCTCGAGACATCCCCACAAAATCCTGCGAAAGGGGTCGAGTGAAACACCCCCCCGCCGCTCCCCTTAGGAGTGCTGAAGCCACAGAATCGCCTGAGACATCCTCAACATCAGTGTGTGTGTGTGAGAGTCATCCGATGAGTGGACCTGAGTGAGTGTAGTGAATGTATGAGTACAAGTACGAGTGAGTCTGAGTGGTGAGTGAGTCTGAGTGATGCGTGAGTCTGAGTGATGCGTGAGTCTGAGTGATGAGTGATGAGTCTGAGTCATGACTGAGTCCGAGTGATGAGTGAGTCTGAGTGATGAATGAGTCTGAGTGATGAGTGGGTCTGAGTGATGAGTGGGTCTGAGTGATGAGTGAGTGGGTCTGAGTGAGAGGAGTGGTGTGTTCTTTCTCTCTCGTTTTCGCCTCCGGCGCGGTCCGCCAATAACAAGAACCCCATACTCAGGATATGGGGAATAACAAGAACCCCATACTTAGGATATGGGGAACAATCTGCTCTGAAAGCCAAGGATGTTGGGCATAACATCGAGCAGACCGCCTGAGACATCACCACAAACTGGCCGCGAACGGGCCCGTCTCCTACCCCGTGGCGGCTCCCTTTAAGGGTGCTGAAACCAGCGCACCGCCTGAGACATCCTCAACATCTGATCTGAAAGCCAAGGATGTTGGGCATGAAAACGGACAAACCGCCTGAGACATCCCCACAAACTGGCCGCGAACGGGCCCAAGAAAACACCCCTGGCGGCCCCCCTTTGGGGTGCTGAAACCAGCGCACCGCCTGAGACATCCTCACAAACAGCTCTAAACGCAAACGGGTCCGCCCACCAAAACAGCCAAACCGCCTGAGACATCCCCACAAACTGGCCGCGAACGGGCCCAAGAAAACACCCCTGGCGGCTCCTTTTAGGGGTGCTGAAACCAGCGCCCCGTCTGAGACATCCTCACGAACTGTTCTAAACGCAGACGAGTCTGCCCACCAAAACAACCAAACCACCTGAGACATCCCCACAAACTGGCCGCGAACGGGTTTGTGAAAACACCTTTGGCGGCCCCGCTTTGGGGTGCTGAAACCAGCGCCACGCCTTAGACATACTCCGAATATTTTATGTGTTGAACAAGTCTGCGTATGAGTACGTCTGACTATGAGAAGGTCTGAGTATGAGTAAGTATGTGTATGAGTAAGTCTGTGTAGGAGTACGTCTGGGTATGGGTAAGTATGGGTATGAATAAGTCTGTGTATGAGTACGTCTGTGTATGTGTACGTCTGGGTATGAGTAAGTCTGCGTATGAGTAGGTCTGAATATGAGTATGTATG